GTGGCTATTGATTTGGAGCATCATAATATGCAGAGCTATCGAGGCTTTACGTGTCTTATACAGGTGGGTGATGGTATGTGGTTTGATGGTGGAGTGGTTAAGATTCCTGTCTCGCATACGATAGGCCTGTGGTTCGAATCCTGGTATGACCATATTATTTTTGGTTGTTTTTTACTATCAGATAGCGACTCGTAAGAAGGACTATATAGTAGACGTCTTGGCCCCGGGTATAATGATGAAGATGCACGACTTCAATAGAATAACGAGCGACCCGGGCATTGTTAAGGTACGAAGTGAAGGAAGTGTGGTATGGGCAGTGTATTACTATCATCATCGTCTAGGTTCTGCATGGAGCAGACATGGATGTTCAGTGGCTACAAAGGGACCTCTCTGCATATCTTTGTAACATGTTCGATACTGGTCAGGCCGCTCGAGTGCTTGAACTCGGTGGAGGGTAATATTCCTTGTCTGTAGTAGTAGGCTATGGTCCAGGGACTGGGTTGGTGGATGTAAATCGATCACGTGATCGATTTGTCAGGTATAGTTTGAAGAACCTGTTAGACTTCTATTGTGGGTATAAAGCGGATAAGGCGAACCAACTGGCTGACTGGCGACAACGGCCTTTGTCGGAAAGAATGAAGCAATATGCGAGGGACGACGTACACTATCTACTGTAGTTAATTTCATGGCGCGCGGTCGTCATACCATAATGCAGATACATATACGACCGTATGCGGGCACAGCTACTGTGCTCAGGAGGAGGAGTTGATGATGGTAAAGTGACGGCATATGGGAGGAAAATGTAATCACGTTGATGGGACTTCGGGGGGTGGGGGGTTGGGGTGACTGTTAATTTTAGTGAAATCAATAGTAACTGAATCAGGAAGCAGTGTTATGATTTCACCCACGCGTTCGAGACGAGAGTGCTTAGTACTGGTCTCGCATTATTCAACTCTATGAAGTTGAATTATGGAGAGCTTCACTAAATGGATGTTGTTTTATACAATTTATGCTTCGCTCCGCTGAAGTGATGTTCAGGTATAAGAGCACTATTAATAGGAGTTGCGATGTAGCTTTGAAAACGTATAAAGATGCGGACTCGGACTTTATGGAGCATGCAGTAGGCCGGGCTGGCACTTTAGGTTTATGGAAATTTCACAGATTTCTGTGGACAGTTCATTGGGGGATTTCACATTGGTCGGAGTTTGTCGAAAGGATTTTCTATGAATTACTCGAGTTTTATATTATTATGTTAGAAGAACTTTATCATTCTCACTGGTATCAGAATTATAGGGATTTTTCGAAATGTGGTATCGAATATCGCGGAGGGAATAGTGGACAACGACTGAATGAGATCTTCTGAGAGGTTCACCCGTTTGAAGGGTGCCAGGAGGGAGGATGTCTTTGTTGAGCTCAGTGTGTTATACGAGTTTATAATCATTGGAGTTTCAACCGTTTTACGCGAGGTGGCATGATACTCGGTGAAAAACGCGATATTCGCGGTGATATGCAGTAGTCGTGGAATATATTTTTCACTTCATATCGCGGGTGAAACTCCATTGAGTGATTTTGTTGGGGTATATTCTTATTCTCGTGCTCAGTCGAATATTTGGGTTTTACTCCTATCGGAAGGCCTCAACTTGTTTTCTGCTTAGATAACATTATCGTGTAAAACTAATACTCCTCTGTCATTGGTGGGCCGTCCTATGTTGGCCGCGCTTATGCATTGGCGGGATAAACTTGGACGCCAGAGAGATGTGTTCCCTAACTCTGTAGGTTAATGTAAAAAGCGCGCGCCTTGTTGATCGATTATGAAATGATCAGATTCTTACTGATCGTTTGGCGTTAAGGATTGCTATGGATGAACCAGTGACTCGAGAGCAGCTCCTACGAGCACTGGGGGGCGGGTCCGGAGGAGTGGCGAGGCAAGTTCGCGACAGGGCGGACGAGGTGTTGGCTGTGCTGCAGGTAGGGAGGAGTCATCGATCCGGATGAAGTTTGTGATGGATGGAATTTTCTGTATAAAATTTCGAAATTAGTTTTTACGGAGTTGGGTAATTTCGTGGCGCAGCGGTAATTGTTGTTAGTATGCAGCGACGCATCCAAAGTCGCCAATACGAGATGCAGAGGATGCCCAGTTGGAGTCGTTGGAGCCTTCCTCTGCCACTCCCCCGCCGCCGTCTACACCGGAGACGAAGCGATGGAAGGGTCGAGGCTCGGGCACGCCCTTGGGTGGTAGTCGCCGTAAGGACCGACGTAATATTCGTGATGAAGCTGTAGTGTTGGACACCAGTGAAATAGAGGTGCTGGGATGCCAGTAGAGGGGCTCGCATGAGAGTGAGGGACTTCATACCGTAAAACGTACGAATTATGACATCTTATGTCTTGCCGAGTCAGGCGACGATTGGGGTGGCTTCATAGGGGGGAGGGATTCTTCGGTTACAGTGTATAATGGGTTCGTAGTTTGTATGTGGTTTACGACAATGCGTTCCAAATCTGATATGCAATACAACAAGGGAGTTTCACGGCCTGTGATATGAAAAATATATTTCCTGACTACTGCATATCACCGCGAATATTGTGCTTTTCACTGAGTTTTACGCCACTTCACGTAAAACGGGTGAAACTCCAATATTTCAATTTGGCACGTCTGGGCGACCGCGGGATGAACGAGTTTTCCCTATCACAGTTCCAAACGGTTATTTTCATTACAAAACATGTTCATTATTCACGTTATATCTGCGATATAGTTTCAAGTCGAATATCAGTCTTCTCGGAGAATAACGCCTATTTTCCACAGTTGCATAGCAAGTTGGCACGCCCTGTGTGGCGATCATTGGAATCAAAAACGGTCGTGGTTTTTTGAAAAATATATGTATACAAATGGCACACGACAATAGCATTGAGGAATGGGGACGTTGCTCTTAGGCGCTTTGCCCTCCCAAGAAGTGAGTGGGCCGACTGATGTACTTAGTGTGGATACATCTATGGATGATGAAGAGGTTACGGCAAAGGTGGATGGGGTTCGGGCTGCATTGGCAGTTGCTATGGCTGAGGTGAGATAGTCGTGGGAGTAGGGTGGGTCGCCATGGTATCTCGGGTAAGTTCGGATTGGAGTGGTATGGAGGTGGTGGTAGGTGCCTGCGGAATTGGCTAGTACAATGTATTTGGCCCGACAGAAGGAGGCCAAAACTGAGGAGGCTGAGGCAACTGAGATGGAGAATCCTGTTGTTGGAAGTGTGGTGACCGAACCTGTCAAGGTGGGCATTCTCATACCATCCTTCTCGCAAATCTCATTCAGAAGGCGTCTGGTGCTCCAAAGGAAGCATCCTCGCCGTCGCCAGAGATTATACATGTTGGAGGAACTAAAGCCATTCCTAAGAGCATCCGACAAGCTTATGCGAATGTAAGAAAAATGAGGGGGATTTGTAGTGTTGGGATGGTGGCTAGGAGGTGGTTTTAGGGGCTAATCGATCACGTGATCGATTTTCAATTTAGTGAATACTTGGTGATGGTCAGGTGCC